GAAGGGGAAAGAAGAGAGAGAGAGAGAGAGAGAGAGAGAGAGAGAGAGAGAGAGAGAGAGAGTATGGCTAGCGTGAATGCTCAGAAAATATGACTCCTGGCCTCCTGATTGCACTTCTCCATGCGTGTCTGTGTCCCCCTCTGGGTGGTGCAAGAAAGAAGAAGGGGCGTCGGGAGAGGGTGGGTGGCTGTGCGTTCATACCGTTTTACGATCAATTGGCAGAAACACATGGCTCCTACCCAACCGGACTGACCAGGAGGGCGGAACGCGACAGGTTATGCACAGCATGAGCATCCCTCCTACCTCTTAACTCACCTCTGCTTGCGTCCTCGTCATATCTCACCTCCTCTTGCGTGCTCATAAGACCGTAAGTAACTCACCTCTGCTTGCGTGCTCATAACAACTCACCTCTGCTTGCCTCTGCTTGCCCGAGACAGCGAACAGCTCTCAAGCGTAAACGTGTCGGGCCGCCAGATCGTCAAAATCCAACGGACGAGCTGGAAAAGAAAAGGGTGACCCTCGTGATTACCACCAGGAGGAGGAGGAGGGGAATAGTAATAACCCTGTCTGAGAGATCGTTCCAACCCCCTAGATGTAAGCTTAATCGACAGCAGCGCTCAGCCCTCGTCTGCCTGAAAGTGTCCGTTCGACTACTTACTGGTGGTAGTCTTTTAAAAGGCTTTCCCCTCCTCCYCCCCCCCCCCCTCCTCCCCCTCCTTCCTCCGCTACCCCTGAAAGCTTCACTAGACCGTTCGCTTTATCAGTAGTTAATGGCACAGCCATGGCCGAACGGAAGTTTTCTGTCATTATAGCCGTATTTGGCTCACGTTTGAGTCTAGATGATGCAGCGACTGATATTCCAGAAAGGAAGATAGATTCCTGTCATAGCTGATCTCTGGAAGAAGGAGGTAAGTCTTTTCTGTGCTCACACCACAGAAAGAAGCCATAGCTAAACACAACACCACGGACAAACCGTAGTTCAACACAACCCCAAGGAGAAGGCATTGTTATTGTTATGGCAGAACATTTCAGTCCAATCTTTTGGAGCGGGAGGGCGAAGGAAGAGGAAGAGAGGAAGGTCCGTCTGATCTTCACCGACCCGTAAGCAGGAGCAGGAGGGTTTAACAAAGCCGCCAGTCGATCACGAGAAATCTGTCGCCAATTTGTTTGATGCACCCCTTCGGTATCTATCTGTATCTGTAATGCCCCTCCCGTCGATCACGGCAACGGGGCCCTGACTCAAAGTCGGCAGGTGAAACGGGAAGACACAGAGAGAGAGAGAGAAAGAGAGAGAAAGTCAAGGTCGAGGAGCCAAACTCTGGCTGCAACCCTGCCAAACCGTACGGCCGGAGTTGGGATCCCAACAGGCCCTGAGCGCCAACTACCCATAGCGACAAGGCACGAATGAAACCCACTGTAACCGCACAATCAGCTTGTGACCGAGCAAAAAACAGAGAGAGAGAGAGAGAGAGGATATGTCAGACGAGGTGGTGATCGTGTGCATGTGCGTGTTAGAGAGTGCGTGAGCAAGCGAGTGAGTAAGAGAGCGAGAGACAGGGAGAGAAAGAGCATATGCGCCCCCCCCCCCTGCCCTCCTATATAAATCAGAGCCCTCGTAAGCTTGTCACAGAGCGGAAAGGAGACAAGAGAGGGACTTGTAAGCAGCTTGTCCACCTGGTCAGAGGTTTCGCTCGGCGTCAGCTACCGTCTTCACCCGAATAGAACGCCTGGTCATTATCGCTGGCATCTGGACCGAAAGTTGTGCCAAATCTGTCAAGCAGCCAATAAGCAGAGAATCTCGTGCATGATTCTCCTCTACTTGCACGTGGTTTCTCGCTTAAAAGAAAAAAGAAAAAAAA